CGATCGTGGGTCCGTGCAATCRGTGAAAAGGCAAAGCAAAGATATTAGTATCRTATCTTGCGATCAGCGTGGCAAGCGCAGAGCTAAAGCTCTCTTCGAAAGTTGTATTGAAGAACAAGAAAATCCCTCACCAGTTGAAATAACTGTTGAAAAGTCAACACAAACCGAATCGTGGCCTGAAGAATCTGAGATTTCAGCAGTTGATGTAAGTATGCTGTATAGTATTATTACGATAACAATTGTTGCAGTGCTATATATTTTGGCGCGAATTTACTCACGGACTTTACAATCACAGTAAGCTAAATATAGGAAAACTGTTCTATTTTAGATATAGATATCTAATATAGTTTTGTTGTCGGTAGTATAGTCAAACGTATAGTCAAAGTTTATTTTTCAAGTAAAGTTTCGTTCGGGAAATGTCTTCCCACCTCGCACTAATTATGCTTTACATCCGCGAAGCAACCGAATATGTGAAGCGCGAGCCTTACTATTCTATGAATTATTTCCTTTTTAAGTTGTTATTCATTATCCAAACAGCCCTTCAAAAGTAGTCCGTCTTAAGAAAGAACTCGAAAGGATTGGCAGGCAATTGGCGCTTGGCGATACAGCTTCCATATCAAGAGCACTGATGGACATAYCGAATRTCAACGAAGMTATACATCAATTGGTTTRTAAAGATATTACTTCTGAAATTGTTGGTCTTTGTTCCAAAAACAATGGTTCAGTTTTAAGGAAGTCCTCTCCTGATGACTTGGCAAAGTTTTCCTGGGGCATTGTGCACGAGGAACTTAAAAGTTGAGCACCAAAGTTTCTGCGTGTTTTACATAGTACTGTAAATAATCCATCACAAAGTAGAAACGTACTTAAAACAAAAGAAGCTATCACTATACCAATGTTAGATGCCGCATGTCAAATGGTATCTATATTTAATGAAGATATGAATGCCACAAGAAAGTTGAAATCAGTAATTTTAAAGAAAGGTGGATTGAAGAAGGCTGCTTTCAAAAGATTGTCTCCTTTGTATATCTGTATGGGATATAGAGCTACAAACAGTTTATTTGAATCTGCTGGTAAAGMATTTGATAGGAAATTGAAAGAGTGGAAAAATCAGGTGGAAGATGATGTCAAAMGGGAAAAGACTCTGATGAAGAAATTGGCTGATGCAGTAAGAGCTGATGACGAATCTGAAGTTGATGCAGTAGGAGATGATGGATCTGAAGTTGATGCAGTTAGCGATGGTGTAGCTGAAGTTGATGCAGTTAGCGATGGTGTAGCTGACATTGATGCAGTAGGAGATGATGAATCTGAAATTGATGTAGTTAGCGATGGTGTAGCTGAAGTTGATGTAGTTAGCGATGGTGAAGTTGATGTAGTTAGCAATGGTGTAGCTGAAGTTGATGTAGTTAGCGATGGTGTAGCTGAAGTTGATGTAGTT